CCTGTCTTATCTTCACGAGACACAAGAAAGTGTATGTCGATTTTCCCTTTCCTTGAAAGACTTTTTAGCTTTTAATCAAGTAGCTCCTTCCCAAATCGTCCCGAATGGGTGGTCTACTTTGATCAGTTGCTTTATTTTGTGGTCGTACCTCAGGGGCGAGCAGCCTCTAACCGCTGCGGATTTTATGTCGCTTTATCACTACATTGCTCGTATTTCTTTTCTTTGGAATTATCAATTAACCCTCTTACCAATCACTTATTGGCTTACGGCTCTAACTCTGATGGAGTTTTGTTGCTTTCATTTCCGTAGGTTTCTAACCCGTTGGCCATAGCCAATGGTTTTACACCCGCTGCCGTTTTCGGCCTTTTACTCCATCTTATGTTTTAACCTAGCTAGGTCAATCGACCCGCTTCTGGTTCGGCCGTGTTAAGATTGTTTAATTGTTCTTTCCAAATGTGTCGATTAAAGTAGATTCGTGTTCCGTCGCACGTGGTCGGCGTCGAGTGGTGGTCGGACCCGAGCCCTGCTCAGTCGAAAATAAGACCTATTGACAAGAATAGGCTATCTTATAAAACTGTCGATTAATGTAGATCTGTGCCCGTTCGCACTTGGTCGACGCCGAACAGTGGTCGGACCTGAGCAGTGGTCGGTCCCGAGCCCTGCTCGGCCTGCTCGACTATAGCTGGTTTTACCGTCGCCGTGTAGAGTTGGATTTACCAAGCTCACGTTGCCGAGTAGCCAGTACCTATTGCCCCCTACTCTCAAGGTAGTGTATTGTCGATATCTATTGAGAGTACGCTTGTAGACGAGGCAATGTGTTTTATCAAAGTCGCAGCTCGGTATCTCGTTTTGGATTTAGGAGACATAGTTGACAGAGAACCAAACAAATGAATACTTTATTGCATAAAAGAAATAGTAATTAAAAATCTTGCTAAAAGTAGAGAAACAAAAACAACCACATTTGAAAGAAGAAAGGAAAGGTCAACAGCCCCCCTTAGTAGAAGTCCTCTCGTTGTCCCTCATTGAGGTATAGTAGCATTCCCGCGACACTCATTGTTCTCTTTTAATCTCTCCTATCCCACCTGGTGTTGGGAACTTCATGGACTGGTGATATGTGAATGGTATTGCTTTGAGCATATGCATTGTCGGTCTTCCCAATATTGCGTTGTAGGAGGATGTGTAGTTAACAACCAAAAAGTCCACCATCTTGGTGACACTCTTCGGCCCACTTCCGAACGTTACAAGCAACTCTATCCTCCCTTCGGGAATGACCCGTTCCCCTCCAAATCCTACTAGTGGTGCTGGGCTGCTCTTAAGCACCTTTTCTCCTAGATCCATAGCTTTATAGGCTGTTCAGGAGATGATATCTGTCGAGCTGCCCCCATCCACCAAAATTCGATGTACGTTCATGTTTGCTATTTTCAAAGTGATAACCAGTGCATCGTTATGAGGGTGGAGGAGGTGAGTCGCCTCGTCCTCTGAAAACTCGATCGTCATCGGCCGGTTTGTAGTATACGCTTGGTAGACCTCATTTTGTTCGTGATTCGCCCTAGCTTCTCGCACATCTGCTTTTCTTTTCCTTCCAGATTCTCTTTCTATGGGGCCTCCCATTATAGTTCGAATCTCTCGAGCAGGAGACTTGTCGCTTTCGCCGTTT